GACAGTGCTTTAATAAACCGTATAGTGCGCGCACATCAGAGAGGGAGAGGGAGACAGCAAGAGACTGCGTTTGTGCGCCTCATGCCATAGACTCAGGAATCGAAATCAGGCACCGAAGTTTTCATTCTTATTCGGTCTGGTTACTACGTCAGAACCGGTTCCCTATTGGAACCGAGTTTCCGTACCCAACCCTACCCAGGCGGTAGTTGACACCATCACTTCCTCTAGAGCCCCCTCTACGAGGCATGACTCTACAACCTGTTTGTTGAGTGGTGTTCTTCTCGCGAGGAAAACCCAAACTTGCTTGATCAGAGCAGGGCTTACCTTGCTGCAAGATGGGCTGGAGCGAAGGCTTTCTCCTTGTATGCTGCCGCTATCGCCGCACATCACAATGCAGTTGAGGTTAAGTCACTGGGAAAGCACGACCTGATCGTCAGGTTCCTGACTAAATCCACCTCTCCCACTTTCTATACCATCTTGGGATTGGTCTCTGGTCCTTTTGCCACTTCAGAGACAAAAGGACTTCAGAGACAAAAAGACCTTTGCAAGCCTTTGCAATCAGCTGTACAACTACTCCTGGTTGCATTCCTACCATTCCCTTCTGGAGCCAGGTGGTGAACCTGCAAGCGCTGCCTTCGGAGGAGGCAGACCCATCCCTTGCTTTTCTCTGTCCAGTTGTGTACAGAACGCAAAGCCTCAGGACCTCAGATCAGCTCTTTGTCTGTTACGGAGGCTATCAGAAGGGAAAGGCTGTTTCCAAGCATAGGATGGCCCACTGGATAGTGGATGCCATTGCCTTGGCTTATGAAGCCCAAGGGGTGCCCTGCCCATCCGGGTTGAGAGCCTACTCCACTAGGAGTGTCGTTTTTTCTTGGGTGCTGGCACACGGCCCCTCGCTGACAGACATCTGTTGAGCTGTGGGCTGGGTCACACCTAACAAGTTTGCTATGTTTCATAGCCTACATATTGAGCCGGTTTATTCCTGTGTGCTCGCTTCAACCAGCTGATAACCCAGAAGTTCCTGTTCAAGTGTCGGCTTCCCCCGCCACTCCCCTCCACATGGAGCGGATACGTGCGCTTTTCTGCTCCAGTTGGATTTCCCACTTAGGCGAACCCTGTTGAGTGTCTCAGCACCCCTTTGGCAGTCAGACTTTGCAGAGCCCTAGTGCTCGTATGTTTGTGTAGCTTGTGCTAGGCTGGGTTTCATATATGCTGACCTCTGCGGTAGGGGTGTCCAGGGTTAACCGGTTAACCGATTAACCGTTTAAAATTGCATAACCGAGTGAAACCTTTTTGCTCGGTTAAGTGGCGTCAATACATATTTGCACAAAACTTTTGCGGGGTTTTTTTCTGATTGTCGATAAAAAAATATTGTGAAATGACAGCGTTTCTATTAACGGTGTTATGCGACTAAAACATTTTTTTTTTCCTTTCGCGATAAGCCATTCCAATGGCAACGGACGTTCACAGCCACCGCACTAGACATTATTTATGGAAGGAGACGTGGTGTGTCATCCAAGCATTAATGGCAGGCAAAGTCACACAGTTTGTGTGTGTTTCTCCCTCATTTCTGCTCCGCGGTCTTGATTGTGGCATTTCTTTGAGGTTTTGTCTAGTAGGCTATTCCATGCTATCATTTATGAATTTTAAAAAAGAACTCTGCCTCGTATATGTCCAAACGGCCAGTGTACTTTTGTGTTCATTCGTTTCCCCTTATTTAATCCGTAGGCCTAATTGCAAAACGAAAAATGAACGGTTGTTGTATTTTGTAAAACGCAGAGTTGAACACCAAAATGTTCATTTGAACTGTAGGACTACGTGCTGCGCAAAAATATATAGGCTATATATCGACGAATTTTCAGATATTTGTTTGATTTTTTTGCCCCTTTAAACATTTAAAATATTTGCCAAATGAATATGAAAAAAAAAAAAAGATTTTACTGTTTTTCTGAGGCCAAATTAGAACCTGGAAATTATATTTTCCCCGCAGTGCTGAATGAGAAGAGCCCTAACCACAGCTTACAGAAAGGGGATTTATAGATGATTTATAAGATATAATAAATGTGTCTGATAATAAAATAATATAAAATAACGAGGCATTAATTGTTTATTAATAAACTATTGTTTTCTAAATCAGTTTCTGCTAAAAACAAATCTCCATCCCCGGATGCACCTTTAGAGAGAAATACATAATTAGCTAGGCTACATAATTACATAGTCAGAAGATATTGTCTTTCGATTCGAATTTGTTCGTTTTAAATTGGACATTTAAAGCTTTAGTCTACAAGACTAACGCTTTAAATGTCCAATTTAAAACGAACAAATTTGAATGCGGTGGCTGTTTCAGTTCTCGCGCTCCAGTTCACGGAGATCATGAAACGCGCCTGTTTGTTAAAGCACAACGTTTTTTTTATTATAGTGAGTTTACGCAAATAAATGTATTTGCGAATAATGTATTATTATTTTCTGTATGACCAGAAATGAAAGAGTATTTTAAGTTGTTTCCACTGAAAGAACTGCAATGAAACTGCAAGTGTTCACATGGGCGTCTCGCAGCCTCCACACTAAGCACACACACTGGATATGCGTCAAAATATTGTGTTTATTTGTGCTTTGTTGCTTTTTTGGATAAAAGCGTCGTCTACATATGCAGAGTTTTTGCGAAATGGACGTGTTGCCATCCTATATATGGTTGCCATGTGCGTATTTTCAATTGGCAATTTCAGTCTGAAGGGTGATGGAAACGCGCCTACTTTAACTGCTCTGAACTCACCACTGCGTTTTATTTCTATAAATTAATTTCGTTTCAAATGGGGTCCAACCAGTTATTAAAGGTGTTAAAAAAATTAACTCATCTCGAGGTTGCAGCGCGCACATGGTTAACCGAGTATTAACCGATAAGGGTCTCGGTTAACGGTTAATGAAAAACTTGAAAACGTGCAGCCCTACTCTGCGGGGATCCCATAAGCGTTTTCTTACATGACCAGCTCCCTGCGGCGAGCCCGTGTCTTTCCCTTGGCAGAGTCTGCTCTGCCGCCACTGTCCGGTGTAGCCTCCCCTTCTCAGGCTGAAGCCACCCCAGTGACATACCATATGTGTATTCTCCACATGGTTCCACCCTTCGGGCAGGATGTGTTTTCCACAGCATCCCTCACCCCTGGAAAGGCACACTTTCCCAGTGTTATCGAAAGAGTCCCACTGTGTGGGGTATAACAGAAGTTTGAACTCCCTCTACATGGGCCTTTCGCCCCAGCCAGTTGGGGGTCTGAGGCCATATTTAAACGCGCAATTGAATGGGCCGCCTCCTCTCACTGCTGATGCTATGACTGGTTGAATACCCGCCACCTGTTTATACCCGTGCTGCAGGGTGGGGCATGAAAATACTCGAAGATGATAGGGCTTCCCTAAAGTAATCCCAATTACGTTGTCATGTTGACATTACGTCTCTTATTCCCTCCTTCAGGAAACAAGGGATACATTAGAAACCAAGAAGTTTTCCAAATTTTATTGATTCATTTCAATCACATATACCTAGTTGATGAACTCATTAGCTCCTTTGTTTGCCCTCTGTATTTAAGTTTCTGCCCTCAGTTTCTGTCAGTTCTTTGTCCTGGATTGTTTTACATCTATGTTGGAGTGGTTGTTCTATTCCGTGTCTACAGGTTTATCTTCTGCGTGTTTCCTTGTTAAATTTACAATTAAAATACTAATTGTTTTGTTTACTTTGTCTCATTTCAGCCACCCATCGTGAAAGAGTGGTGATGGCAAATACAATTTAAACGTAAATGAGCATTTAAGCCAATATTTATTGAACAAAACAAACAAACAGCAATAACCATTATGGCTATAAGCTGGAGTTTTGTGGTGGATAATTGTTTAAGGTGCGCTCAAGTAATTACGTGATTTCAACTTGTAAAAAGCGCTCACAGCCTTATAGAGCTTGTAGATTAATTTAGGTATTGAGCGTTGCCACAGAAATGCATAATCCCAGTTCGAGGACGTGAACAGCTCCAAGCAGAATGTCATGTGTTGTCATCTTGAAACTACGGTAATTACAATATGGTGTGAATGCAGCATTAGTCTATGTGGTGAAAAAAACAACACACTTTTATCTAATCTTAATAATGTGCAGAATTATAAAATTATGGCTAAATTATTTTACATATTGAAACCTAAAATGGTCAACTATCTTATAGAAAATTATCAACATTCTGATAATTTTCGCATCCATTCTTTAGTTTAAAATTGCTGCAGATTGTGGCAATTTACACTTCTTTTCTTTTGTTTTCCCTTTGCAAGCAGTCAAGTTAATTGTAGACCAAATGTACAGTATGAATGGTTGATTGCAAAACTATCAGATAGTTGAAATCTAAGAAAGTTGGGGAAGAAAACAGCTACTTCTGCATCAGGTAAGCTTTTATTTTTTATCCTTTGGGTAAACGTGTTGTATGATTGTATAGATACTATATAGTACTATAGATACCTTTTTTACGCCTCCATGCACAAAATGACCACCTACGATTTTACTGATATATCATGCAATATACATAACCCCTCAAAACTTGTGTCAAGTTTTTTTTTTTGTTGAATTATTATTATTATTATTATTATTATTTAACAAGTAGGTAATTATGCTGATAGTCTCACAAACCGAATTTCGATAATATAGTCCACAGCACAAACAACATGGTAACGGTTCTCAGTTGGGAATGAGTTATGAAAAGTGAGATCTTAATTCAACAATACATGTTGTATGTTTTTGTTTGTATGTGCAGTCAGAGTAGACAATTCAGATTAAATTTAGAATTAAAAAATGCAAAAAGAGGCTATAAAATTTTACGACTTTTGCATGTAGAACTAGATTCAGCAGTGGTGCCGAACAATAAAATTAGATTTTTTCACACTTTTGAATTCATCAATTGCATCAATTCACCCCTTCCATTGACAAAAAGGCTTGAGGTAAGAAAATAATCTCAAGTGTAATACAGTAAACCTCTAACCTTCCCTGCAAGTCATCCAGAGTTAATCTTCCTCCATAATGGGTAGCTGAAGACATAATAACTATTCGGGAACATTTCCCAGGTTTGCCTGACTTCCTCAGGACATCTAGCAACAGGTTGACCAACAGGAAATGGCCCAGGTAGTTTAGCCCAAAGTGTAGCTCAAATCCATCCTCTGTTCTCCTCTCCGGAACAAGCATTACACCAGCTGCATACATAAAAGGAACATCATTGCTGATATATTATGAACAAACAGAATACAGGACACCAGGAAGAATCATACTATGCTTGATCAAGTATTCACACCTTAAAATGACTCATAAGTAATTTCTGAGTCACTCTTTTGAAAAGCAATGAAAATACGCTCAGAGAACAGTGTACTGCATGCAGCTCTCTGAATACCATGAATTAAGTGTTGCTCGCTCCATTCTGTTGTTATTCCAAGTTACGTCGGATGACGACGAATGGGGTTTTGCTTAGAAGGCCTATGGACTTTGAGTATTAAAAAACAAGCCAATGGCAAAGAAATGCCATGGGTCTGCGGAATTTGCATGGTGCTACAATGCCCCACCTCGTGGGTAATAAGCATTTAAACTTCAACCCCACTTTTGAAAAATCCCCAGAAATAGCACCCAAACTAAAACAGATACAGTTCATGAACCCTTTGCACTAAAAGCACAAGTATGATCTCATTTGAAAACTGACACTTGGTAGTTTATAGTAAATGTAGAATTAATTATTGTCATAATGAAAAACATTTTTTAAATAGCTTCAAAGTTTTGTAAAGTTATTAGAAATGTATTTACTGTATATGAAACATCTTCATGAAAATATAATTGAAGTTGGCCCTGTAGCAATCTAGAAATGCACTGCAGCTAAAGCCATACGTGTGACCATTTTATATTTAAAATCTGAAAATGATAAGTCTATAACTCTGTATTTAGCTACTGCACATATTTTTCAAGATCATGTCAAATTAAATTACTTTATTTTGAAACCATGTTTGTGCTCCAAACTTACTTTATAACATAAGCTGAGTGTTTTAAATAATCTTCTGTGATCTAATTTGGCTTCAGATTTAAAAAAAAAAAATCAGACAGAAAATATATTATTTATTGTATTGTGCACAATGAAAAAATCTATATTGATTAGCATTACATTATAAATATAATCTATTATTATGAAAATACCTGGCATGGCTTGAAAAACAAAGGTAACTCAAATATCATTGCAATCATGTTTATTGTCTTCAAAACATCTTTATGTGCATGTTACAGCAATCTCTGTTAGCTGTTTTTATGCCAGGCAGTACCTGGAATGTCACATGGTCATGGCTCTTCTTCGTGTGTAGCATATATGGAATATTCTGAGCAGAGAGCACCCTCAGGCTATTGGTATGAATTGAAAACACAGTACATCTCAGTAAGAAGCGCTCATAATGATTACATAGACGCTTTTTAGTATAAATTCAATAAATATTATTCCTGACTATAGAAATATAATGTGAGTCTATGAGAATCTATCAATATTTCTCCAAGTCAGCACATTTTTGAGCTAAAGCAGCTTTTGTTTTGTGGAAATACAGAGTTTGTTTTCTGAATGGACCAGCTGACGCTCATAATTCATATTATAGATATCGACTCATTTTCTTCATTTCATAACTCCTGAAACAAATAAGATATACAGGGGTTGGACAATGAAACTGAAACACCTGGTTTTACAACACAATAATTTGTTAGAATGGTGAGGGCCTCATTTTGCATCCAAATACAGCACCAATTGACAGATAGAAGTCCTTCACAGTGACCAGAGGGATTATGAGCCGTTCCTCTTCCAGAACAGTGTCCAGGTCACTATATGATGCTGGTGGACTCGCTCCTCCAAAACACCTCAATAATTTTCAGATCTGGTGACTGTGCAGACCATGGGAGATGTTCAACGTCACTTTCATCTTCATCAAACCCTTCTGTCACAAGTCTTGCTGTGTGTGTTGGTGCATGATCATGCTGATACACGGTTTGAGCATCATGATCCTCCAGAAGGGTTTGGTAGTCCTCGGCAGTGTCGTGTCCATCAAATACAATCAGGATTGTCATGATATTGGAGCTCAAACCATCACTGATCCACCCGTGCTTCACTCTGAAGATTGGCCGCCAGGCATATAGATGTGAAACCTCCAACATTGGCCAGTGTTTCAGTTTCATTGTCCAACCCCTGTAACTGTCACTATAAGTTTCTCACAATACAATAGTGAATACCCTCTGAGTAACAGTTACTCCAACCTGCCGTCAGACCTTCTACCCGTGGTCGAACCTCAGTTTTCTACGGGCTGGAGTGTAGCTGGAATGAGCTTCCCAGCACATTGCTGTCTCAACAGATGCCTCAACCACAGGTTGGAACGCCATGTGCAATGGACATGCTTCCGCGGGCTTCTGGACAGGACTTCAGCGCTTATAGCATGTCAATTGCTTTGAGTTGTTGGCAGTACGCCTTTCTCTGCACCCCTTTCGGGCGCTGCTCAAGGGTCAACACGTACTAGTCCGATCAGACAATTCCGCCACCAGCAACACCCAGCACATTCACCAGATTCTATAATCTCTGAGTGGAGCCTGTGTCCTCTCATGTACTCGCTTCAACCAGCTAGTAATGGACCCGCCCAGGTGTCTTCATTTGCTCGCCATTCCACTTCACAGCAATATTTTTCTCAGGTGAGCTTCCCTTAAGCTCCGAGTTCCTCCAGCACTGCTGACGTCGACGCCAGTGTCTATTGCCAGTGCGTTGACTAGGTGCATCCGTGTGCATGGTCCCCACCTGGGTGAACCCCACATGTATATTTCCACTGTAAGCCTCGTCTTTCCCTTGGCAAGCCACCTTGCCACCCCTGGGGTTGAAATATTCCACCTGCGGCTGGTCATATGTGTAGTGGGAGACAGCTGTGAAGGTGGCGTGATTAGACTGGTAACCCCATTCGTCGTCATCTGACGTAACGTGATAACAAAAGGGAACAACTTGGTTACATATGTAACCCTTGTTCCCTCAGTATGGAACGGAGACGTTACGTCTACCTGCCACTGCCGTGTACCACGGTTGATCGCCTGAGCTCAGTCTTGGCTCCTCGAAGAAAAATATGCTGGCATCCTCCTTTATACCCACAAGGTGGGGCGGAGTTGCGGCATGCAAATTCCACAGACCCATGGCATTTCTTAGCCATTGACTCATTTTTTAATACTCAAAGTCGATAGGCTTTCGCTGTCATCCGACATAACGTCTCTGTTCCCTACTCAGAGAACGAGGGTTACATACGTAACCGAGACATTTATTGATTCACATCTTTTTGAATGGCTTTTAACACACACAGAGAATGATATCAGAAATGTCTTCATATGAAACTAGAACAAGAGAAAAACCATTTCCTTCAATAAAAAGGTCTTAATGTGATTTTTCTGCTTAATTCATGTTCTCGCTGAGAAGAAAATGAAAAGATGTGAAGATCATCATGAGTCACATTCACACATAAACACCCTTCTACAAAAATGCACTTCTATGTCTTTATAAAGAGCGACCACAAGATAATTAAAGTTGGTGAATCCCAATATTAAATGGATGTAATCTGGTTTAAAACCCTGGCCGAGACTGAGCACCAGCATTCATGCGGAAATAAGCCTCTGCTCTTGAAAACATGTTTCATCATTATTTTGCTCTTAATAGAATTACAGCTCAGTTCGCAGGAGAAAACCATAATCAGGCTTACAAAAATGTCCTCAGCATATTAAATGAACATTAAACAGTATGTTTTTAATTACACTCACACTGGAAAGTTGAACTTAACGAATCCTATTTTTTTTTTTCAATCCATGTTCTCTGAAGAGAGAATCAATGTCCCTCAACTCTTCCTCAGACACATGCAGTGTCCTGTCCAGCCAGAGCACTAGAGGGGTCAAGCGTTGACCATTCGGCATCATTAGACCCTCAATGGGGTGGCACAAATACATTGATCCATCAGCTGGCATCAGATGGGAGGGGTGTACACCATAGAGAACAAACAGATAAAAGGGGAGCGTGAATTATTAATTCTCTCTGTTAGGGAGAGGACACTGTGTGACTGTTCCTGTCATTTTGGGACATTCCCTCGGGCAAACTTCTAAATAAAAGTCATTCAGTTAAAACAAACAACCCCTAAGGCCCTCAGGACAAAGACTAGACATGTCCAACAGAGCGAGCTTTGGAGTATGCAAGAGATTGTAAGACCGTTTATAGGAGACAAGCTATAAATGATAAATAGTTAATGCATTAGGTATCATGAACTTGTATTACAATTTCATGTCTGTTCATTATACATTAATTTTAATACATACAATGTGAAATCTATCTAAACAATATAAAAATGAATATTAATCTAATGTAATAAATGCTGTAAAATTGTTTATCGTTAATAAGAAATCTTTAAATCATTAAATAAATAAACATGAAAATATAAATATAAACATTTAAAAATGTTAGACACTGCAAATATGAAAATAACAACAAATAATACAGGCCAATTGCTGTGGACTAATGATGTATTTTAAGGGGAAAAATTGCCTAAGGCAAGAGGAATTAATGAATTTACATACCATTATTGACAAGGACGTGTAGTGGCAAACCTGTGGATTTATATCTCTGGACAAACTGCCGCACAGATGTCAAAGAGGCCAAATCCAGGTACATGAACTGCACTGAAAGCAAACAGATTACAAAATCAGTCCTAAAGCAGCACATATGAGAGCAGAAAAGTAAAGGGATAGTTCACCCAAAAATGAAAATTACCCCATGATTTACTCGCTCTCAAGCCATCCTTCTTTCTGACCAATAGATATTTCATTCAAAAATATCCTGGATCTTCCAAGCTTTATAATGGCAGTGAGCGGAGTATATCATTTTGGCCAAAAAAGTGCACCCATCCTCCATAAAAGTACTTCACATGGCTCTGGGGGTTAATAAAGGCCTTTTGAAATAAAACGATGTGTTTTTGTTAGAAAAATATCTCACAAAATATCAAATAATAATTTTAATATAGTTCTATAGTAGATAGTTATTTTAGTTGATAAAGATTTAACTTATAAAATCTTATCAACTAAAATAACTAGTTTCCGACAGCAGCCGTACGCATCAATTTATGTTGAAAGAAAAACCCTTCCCTTGACCTCATGTCATACATCATGTCAACTATTACTCTTTTGGCAAAAATCAACTTGCTTAGGCCGTCTGCTGGAAGCTAGTTATTTTAGTTGATTAAGTTATGAAAATGGATATTTTTCTTACACAAATGCATCGCTTCACTACAAGGCCTTTATTAACCCCATGGACCTCAATGCATTAATTTTATCAGGGATGAATGCACTTTTTTTTTGGCTTCAAAAAAAGAATCCTCCATTCACTAGCATTAAAAAGCTTATATATATTTTTATTTTTTTTTCCCACAGAAGAAAGAAATACATACAGGTTTAAAACAACAGGATAGTGAGTAAATAATGGCAGATTATTATTATTATTTTTTTTTTTTTGGTGAACTATCCCTTTACATACTTTCTTCAAAACGTAGGTTTGTCAAGCAAACATATTGCATTTGTTTTGAATAATGTAATTTTTCTTATAAAAAGAGGTATTTACTTCCTTTGTTTCTTTGAATTTCACTTTAATTTTACTGCCTTACATTAAAATCTGAACTGCACTTATGAATCTTGTTTGAGCAATGCAAAATCAAACAATGCAAAAACAGTAACTGAATTGGAATTTAAAAGGTATATTCAATTCAGTTCTGAAAAGCACACAACCCGGTAAGCACAAATAATGAATTGCTCAAGGACGACACAAGCATGCAAATGGAAATACTGAATCATCCAATAATATGAGGCCTCTGAGAAAGGTCTCAGAAATTTTCGATTTTTTTTTTCAAAGTTAATTTTTGAATACAAATCGGTTTAAAGTCCCCGTGAACCGGAAGTTGCAAACGATTTTTCTCCAGTGCTGTGACGTATTTCCAAGTGAAACGGAATATTGAACAGAGGGCAGGGTTTTACTCTAGCGCTCCTCCTCTCCATCTCTCGCTCATAGCAAACTAACGGTTTGAGGGGAGTGCATGGTTAAGCGTTTCCCCACCCAAACTGTGAAACCTACGTCATCAGAAAAAGAAACCGTTCCAGACCGGAAGTAACTTTTCAGATTTTGATTAAAGATTACTAAGGTAAAACATTTTTTTAATATATATTCACTTGCACGGATTAATTGTTCACCACAAGACTAGTAATATGCGCTAACAAAGTAAATAGGTTCAATTTTGATTTCACGGGGACTTTAAGCACTTACACATCACTGCAGTGTAGTATTCAATACAACAACAGCATTAATTGCCATACTGAATGCAGTATATGCATTTCATAATAGTCAAACGTATTTGTCCTCCTCAAATAAAACAAGTAAACTCAGCTTGTCAGCTACTTTTACAGGGGTTGGTTTCAAGTAGTTGGAGGCTAAATTCTCTGTTGATTCATCCAGTGTCCTCATGCATGCCATAGTTCATTTAATAACATTTTTCTGTTGGTCTGTACATCAAAGCAAGTTCAATTAGTCTAATTTCAAATTATTCCACTCACAAGCCCCTTTCACACAGAGATTCCGGAAAATACACAGATAATGTGACCGGCATTTGTCCCGGGATTGTTTGATTTCAGTTCATTCACACTGCAGTGATTTGCCAGGATCTGTGAGTGCCTTCACACACAACCCGGAAAGATCACGGAAAGACTTATGACATCAGGATGAGACGTGTAACGTACGCGTCGAAAACATGTACACGCGCACATAACGTTCCACAAAGCTGGTGAACGATCTCAGCTTCAGCACGGATAGTGAGGAGGAGTTCCTAGTCTATGCTTCGTTCCAGTTTGCAAACATTTGTTTGTCCTTTCTTTGTTGATGACGAACACAAACTTTCTTCTAAGAGCAACAGAGCAACGACGCTCGTGCCATTATCACTATGACACACCCCTTACGGCATTGGTCCTGGCTTTTGTTCATACAGCGCGTGTTCCGGGACTGATTCCGGCAATGTTACTAGGTCCCCAACCGGGCATCGATGCCGGTATCAATCCCGGGTCGTATTTGCATTCACACAGAAGACGTTCTGGCAAATATCCCAGCATTTTCCATGTGATCAATGCACTGTGTGAAAGGGGCTAAACACTCATGCATGGTCAAAAGGACTTTTTCCCATCATCCCAAATGACCTAGCAGTGTTTCAATGATCACTTTTTTAAAGATAAAATTAATTACTATAAATTAAACAAAATTACTAGCCTATAATTGCCCAAAAATCAGCTCCAAGCTTACTTATAAAAAAAAAAAAAAATTGTGTTCAGAATCGGTTCACAGCCAAGGAGATCGATGTCCTCGTCAGGGCCGTAAAAGAAAGAGAAGGGCCAGGGGATGGGACAAACCCACCCAAATTAGCTTTGGTTAAACATGCATAATAATTTGGGTAAATGTGTAAAGTTTATGCCTATTTTTCCCATCGTCATGGACTCAACAATGATTTCCCTTGTGTTTTAATATTTTCCTTATAATAATGTATCATTTGCAAAAAGTAATGCATCTGTGTAGATGAGAGAACCATCTACAGTGTATGCGTGTTGTTCATACTCAACATGTTGAAGTCCAAATGAATGCAGTTTCAAAAGGCTCTGTATGATCACAGCTGAGGAATGGGGTCTTATCTAGCGTAACGATCGTTCATTGTCTAAAAATAATAAACATTTATATACTTTTTAACCACAGTTGTTCATGTCGTGCCGTATGTGACCAGGTATTATGACATCACGGTGCAAACGTCATGCGTCACGTCATCTATCTAAGTTATCTGTCTGTAGAGCCCAACCGATATGGATTTTTGGGGGCCGATGTCGATACCGATTAAAAAAAGCCAGATACCGATATATATCGGCTGATATTATTTATGTGTATATTATAATACAGTACCAATACTATGTTGTGTATTATAGTACAGGCTTTGGAAACGGAAAGAACAACTCCTCCAGACAATCTCTTGGGGTACCTAGAGTCCGATTTACAAACGCTGTGGGCGCACCACTTTACCATTTTGCTTAAAGTCAATGTTTGACCAACCTGCTCACATTATAACGGTTGCTATGATGTGTGATTGGACAATGACTGTTTTGGGGGAGGGGCCAGCGAAAGGTCAATTGGGCATATCATTTGTTCAGTATGGCGGAACTAAAGATGTGTTCCTCGCAGGTTTTTGAGCACGTAAAGCATAACTTCAAACTACGACTTGTGACTTTGTAGCGTTCCAGGCCAGTCACGCCAAACTACCTGAGTGCATAAGCATGATCAATGCTGTCATTGCTGTCAAGTTCAGGTTTACGTCACCTTAACATTTCCATGCGGCAATACACTTTCACAACACACAATGGGGCCAAAAACTTAGAATAATGAGAGAGGTCTGTAATTTTCATCTTAGGTACACTATATATGAGAGACAAAATGAGAAAAAAAAATCCAGGAAATCACATTGTAGGATTTTTAAAGAATTTATTTGTAAATTATGGTTAAAAATAAGTATTTGGTCACCCACAAACCAGCAAGATTTCTGGCTCTCACAGACCTGTAACTTCTTCTTTAAGAAGCTCTTCTGTCCTCCACTCGTTACCTGTATTATTGGCACCTTTTTGAACCCGTTATCTGTATAAGAGACACCTGTCCACAGCCTCAAACAGTCACACTCCAAACTCAACCATGGCCAAGACCAAAGAGCTGTCGAAGGACACCAGGAAGAAAATTGTAGACCTGCACCAGGCTGGGAAGAGTGAATCTACAATAGGCAAGCAGCTTGGTGTGAAAAAAATCAACTGTGGGAGCAATTGTAAGAAAATGGAAGACATACAAGACCACTGATAATCTCCACCACGCAAGATCTCATCCCGTCGGGTCAAAATGATCATGAGATCGGTGAGCAAAAATCGCAGAACTACACGGAGGGACCTGATGAATGACCTGCAGAGAGCTTTGACCAAAGTAACAAAGGCTACCATAAGTAACACACTATACAGAGAGGGACTCAAATCCTGCAGTGCCAGACGTGCCCCCTGTTTAAGCCAGTACATGTCCAGGCCCGTCTGAAGTTTGCCAAAGAGGATATGGATGATCCAGAAGAGGATTGGGAGAATATCATGTGGTCAGATGAAACCAAAATAAAACATTTTGGTAAAAACTCAACTCATCATGTTTGGAGGAAAAAGAATGCAGAGTTGCATCCCAAGAACACCATACCTGTGAAGCATGGGGGAGGAAACATTATGAGATTCATGAGATATTGTGAGATTTTAAGCTAAAACCTCCTTCCATCAGTGAGAGCCTAGAAGATGAAACGTGGCTGGATCTTCCGGCATGACAATGATCCCAAACACACCGCCCGGTAGGGCTGTGCCATATCATACCGTCCACGATAATACCGGTATAAAATTTGACATGATAAAAAAGTGTTGTATCGCAATAATGATGATATAGTGGTGCGAGGACATGATATTGATGATATAGTGGCGTTATGTCGTATGCCGTATTTACATTACTTAGCGCGCGCACAACAACAAAACCTCTGAGAGTAAAAAAAAAAAAAAACGCTGACTGAGAGTAATAGCACAGCAGCATGTCAGCCTCCGAT